GTTCATTCTTGGAGAGTAGCAAGGGCTGTCCTACAAGAATTTCATTGGAAAACTTTACCTCATCTATCCAATAGTCCTGTTCTTGCCCCTTCAGACTTCTTTTTGTTTCACACACTCAAAGAACATTTAAAAGAATATAATTTGAGCCCTTCAAGGGTACCAAAACTGCTGTTTTGACACGGTATAAATAAAAAAAGTGCAGAATTTTCAGGGAAGGGCTAGAAATGGAAACACTGCCTTTAGATGTGTATAGAACTAGATATTTAAAAACAATAGTTTCACATTTTATTATTTTTGTTTAATAGAAGTTTATATGATTTTATAGCAATAATTTTTTACTTTCTCAAAAACCTGAAGAAAGCAGCTTAGTTTTGATGATGTGATAGCACTAAATATATTATTTTTTAGTAAAGTTTCTAAGAATAATATGACTAAATGTTTGCAGTCAAAGGTTAAACAAAAATAAATGTGTTTCTGGAAACCTTTCAAAACAGGTACAATTAAGTTTGAAATAAATACTGGCCTAAGACATTACTATTTCCCATTCAGAACAAAAAGAGGAACATATGATAAATTACTTTAGAAGATACGTTTAATAATTATACTTAAATATATCTCATGAAATCACATTTTTAGTAGGAAATGTCCTCTGAAACTAAACAAAAATGCTCCCAATAAGCATAGATAAAATTACAATTCTTGATCTCAATAAATATTTGGATAAAAGATAAATTTCTAGCCAATATTTCCTAAAAAAAAAAAAAAGAATACTTTTATCATATACCCTTAATGTGTTATTAACACTCTCGAAGCATAAAAATAAAAACAACTACAATTTAATCAACAAGTATATGGATAGGTATCAATGTTATATGCTTAATACAAATCTCCTTTAATTTTGATTCAAACTAATTAGGTAAATAATATAATCCCACTTTAAAGATAAGATTAAACCAGGGGTGGTAGGCCTGTGGGGTGTACCCTTAGGTTGTTTGACGAATCATGGAGTGGATTATAATCATTGCAATGAAACGAAATATGATAGGATGAATGTAAAGCTGATGTTTTCACAAGTAAACTCACATAATTCACAATAAAAACTTAAAAAAATAGAGTAGTTAAGAGAAACTGCTAAAATGATTGTCAACAATCAATTATTTGTATTGTTTTCAGATATTTTCCATGAAAGCAGTTTTGATGATAGCATATTGTTGTTAGGTGCCTTCAAGTTAGTTCTGACTCACAGCAACCCTATGTCCAATACAATGTACAATGAAACACTGCCTAGTCCTGGGCCATAGTCACAATTGTTATCATATTTGAGTCCATTGTTTCTTTTGCTTTGTCAATCCATCACATTAAGGGTCTTCTTTTTTATTGTCCCTCCATATTCCAAGCATGCTGTCTTACTCCAGCACCTGATCTATCCAGACAACATGTCCCAACTTCTAAAGAGGAAGTTTTATCATTGTTGTTTCCAAGGAACATTCCACAAAACAGATTTGTTTGCTTATAGAAACTACTTCATAAAGTCAGTTCCTACTCATAGCACCCCTGTGTAGAGTTTCTGAAGAGTGGCTGGTGGGTTTGAACCGATTACCATGTGATTGGCAGTCAAGTGATAATACAGCACCACACCAGGTGTGTTTAGTGCATTATATAATTTTATTGTTGTTGTTAGTAACATTGAGTCAGTTCTGACTCAAAGCAAACCTGTACACAGTGGTGGGAAACCTTTTCTCTGCCAAAATTTTTAGCATCATTTACCAGCCATACAAAATTATCAGCTTACAACTGTCCTGCTATGTTTGGTCAAACATTTAATTAATTCACCCCTAAACAGGGTCAGCATTGACTCAACAGCCCTTAACAATAACAACACTGAGAGTCCTGGTGTGATGATGTAGGATAAGTACTTGACTGCAAGGTTGGTTTGAACCACAAGGTCAGCAGTTTAAATACACCAGTCACTCCTTGGAAGCCCTATATAGAGTCGCTATGTGTTGGAACCAACTTGAGGGCCCTCAACAACAACAGCAACGACAATGTGGTGGCTGGAACAACGGTGCGTTGGCAGGGCCAGGTCAAATGATTTTGCTTGCTTTTTATCGCTCTGGGATGGATGTTCCCCATCCTTGTTGTTCAGGGTTTCCAAGGAGTGGCTGGTAGGTCTGAACCACAGACCTTGTAGTGAGCAGTATAGAAGTGTACCTACAATGCCACATCAGGACTCTATTATTATCACTTTTGTCATTAAATACTGTCTGAGTAGTTCCAACTCATAGCGACCCTGTACAGGGTTTCCTAGGAGTGGCTGGTGAAGTTGAAATGCTGACCTGTGGTTCAAACTGATCTTGCAATTAAAACTAATCTTGCAGTCCAAAGCTTATCCTTCAGCACCACAACACCACTTCGATTGTATCGCTAGGAAAAGAAAAATGTATTACCTCTTTTCATCAGCTATATTTTCAGTACTGTGGTTTTTACTTTTATATGCAATATTTATTTTAATTATTTTTCACTTTGAAGTAGAAACAATTACTACGATTTTACAAATGATGAAACAGCTTTCTAAAGGTTACATGAATTGTGGATGATAAGGTAAACTCACTAAAAAAAAAAAAAAAATTAGTGTCTTTTCCTGTAGTATTACATTTAGATGTATATCCACAAATGACTGGGACAAGTTGAAACCATGTGACCCCTGGTGTCAAGTAAGATTTTTGACTTTTTGACTGACGACACACCTCAAAATATTTTTGGAAGATTTTGCAGAAGTATACTTTTAGAGTTATAGAATACACATTTTAGAAAAATTTGTGCATTTGTTGTGATGTATTGATTCTGGAGTATTTATACACATATGAATGTCAAAGTAAAATATTCTCGTATAATTCTTTGACTACCACCAAATTCTGTTAGAGATGAATTTCTTATCAGAGAAGTACGTAAAGGTTTTACTTATGTGCTATTAGAATTAACATTTAAGAAGTTAATTTTTAAAACTCTATGCTACTTTTATTTTGCAACTTCATGAGAAACCAATGGGACAAATGTTTAATTACCTGATGCTGTACCCAAACTCCAAACTTAGCCAAATATCTACATTTAAAGTCAGATCTCTTGTCTTTAAAGTCTAGAGACATAGTTCTTAGAAAACTATCCAGAAAAACAGTTACAACAGGATAAGTAGGAGGACATATGAGCTTTGTGAGAATCACTAGCACTTGATATCTCAAAAATCAAGGAAAAAACTATTCCACTCCATGTGCTGTAAGTCTCTGGATGATAAGAAAAATGTGTTTTCAATCATCTCCTGAATATATTCAGCTCAATTTGAGAATAGATATGTCTCATATTAATACTTAATTTCTAAATACTCATGAGCTCTATTAAAATTCCCTGGCAAAATTCTACTATGCTTTCCTTCCAGTGGACTCTGAATCAAAATTTTGGCAGGCTCTGACTGATTAGCAGGTTTTTTCCTTCTCAATCACATTATTGAGCACGCCCAAATTGAGCTCTGGGAACTCACTGTTTAAAAAAATATTGCTTTATCAAGTATATTAAAGGCTTGTTTAGACTCTCTAAAGGAGATATAACTCGAGGTAATGGAGTGTAATAGAGAAATGTGAAATGTTTTTAGAGTAAGACCATTTAATACAGAATTATCATCTTTATTCATATCTATACATCAAAGTATGGCATTAAGCTAATTTTTCATGTAATTCAAGTCCAAAGCTAAATTAAAGGAGCATCTGCATATGTACATTTCCTATATATACTGAACAATGACACAATTGGTCACAAAAGCCACAGCTTCGTGACAGCCATCACATTCAGATATAAGTGGTGTGCTCATCGCCCCTTACATTGCCCCTTCAATTTCACTTAAAGATTGATTAGACAGCGGCACTCTACAACAAGATAGAACCAAGCTCCAAACTTTTTAAAATTTCTCCTGAAACTCAAGAGATAACGTGGGCAGGTGTACAGGGAGGCACTGGCAAAACATTTTAGGTGGATAGATGTCTTCTAAAAAGATGCATTATTGTTGTTATGTTCCGTTGAGTCAGTTCCAACTCATAATGACCCTGTATAGGATTACCAAGGAGTAGCTGGTGAGCTTGAACCACTGACCTGTGGCTCAAACCGACTTTGTAGTTCAGTGAATTAACCCACAGAGCCACACCAGGACTCAAAGGCCTTCAGCTCTCTTCAATAGCTAAATGGTTCAAAAATTTTGAACTACAAAAATGTGTAATTTTTTCACAGTCTTAAAGGCACCAAAGTATAAGTGTGCTTAGGTGCCCTTGCTAAATCTCTACACAAGCAATCTCAACAAATACTGTTAAATAGTAATGATCTATCTCATTCACAACAGCTTAGAGAAATTGTCTAATCTACTTTACTGGAAGTAAATCTCCTTGATCTCCTCCTTCCACATGAAAAACAAAACAAAACAAACACCTAATATTAGTTTTAAAGTGGGAAGCCTCCTGTAATTCTCACAGGAACTCTTAATAAATCTTTAATTCACTAATTTTTGTCCTAAATGATTAAGTGTCTAACACCAATTACTGGTTTATGACTGTGTATTACATTTTATCTCATATGGTTTAAAAGGCCAAAGAGAAAAGAATAAGTTAGAGAGAGGGAAAAAAGGAAAGAAAGAGAAAAGGAAAGAAAAACAGAAAGAACACAAGAGAGAATGAGAAAGAAAGAAGGAAAGAAATGAGAAAGCACTTTTAGAAAGATATTATGGAATCTACCAATTCAAATTTATAAATAATTCTCTGAATTTAAAATATGACACAATTGCTAGTGAAATTTATAACTGTCAATGAAAACTTCTACTTACAAAGCTCTTTGGATTTTTTTATATATAGCAACCCATACAAGTATACAGTCACATTGGTTTTATGCTTCCTTTGTTAAAAAAAAATAATATAATATATATATATTTATTTACAATATCAAAGTAAAAAAGGAATTCTTACCACCTTCTTTAGTGCAAAGGTTGACCAGGTTATGGACTGTGTCCATCAACTCCAGCTGCTGTTTCTGAAGAACACTGTTGTTATTGGTGGCTCTGTTTAATTGCTTCTCCAGCTCCTGGATTATGTAGGTTTGACGAGTAACCAAGCCTTGAAGGTTCTCTTTCTCTTCTTTTAATGCGTCCAACTCTTCTTTGTGTTTTCCCTCCATGTCTAAAATTTTATGTTCTAATAAACTGCAAGAAAAAAAAAGTGTTAGTTTTGAACGTGCTATACAAGATTTTGAATCAACTAATTGCTGAATTTATCTAAGATTTGAAATTTTAACTCATTTCTTTCACCATGGAAATATTTTTTAAGTGAGAGAATCAAGAATATAGTTTAGTTTTTTAAATAGCAATTACATAATAACATGTTACATGAAACATTATTAGATCCGATATTGTCAGAGTAATGTTTGCTTTCTAAATGTATTTGATTTCCTGAGATTTATCATATACCCAGGTAGTAGTTAACTAGGCAGTAGTTGGAGTCCTGGTGTGGTGCTGTGGGTTAATGTGCCAGACTGCAAAGCAGTTTGAGTTGCAAGGTCGGTGGTTCAAGCTCACCAGCTGCTCTTCAGAAACCCTATACAGGGTCACTATGGGTTGAAACCAGCTTGACGGCACTTAACAACAACAACAGGTAGTACTTGACATGTATAAAAGCAATTACAGTATGGAGAAGTTATAGTATAACTTTTGGTAAGAAAATGAGTGTTTCCAATTAGAAACAGATTACAGGGGAAAAAATGAACAAAATACAGAAATTATTTTTTTATTTATTTTGCTTCATTCCTTTGATATTTTTAAAACATTAAAAAAAAAAAGTTGATTAATTTTCACAATACTTCTGTGAGTATGGAAAATGTCTATACAGAAACTGTATGACAAGGAATTAACATCTCCAAAGTCATATGTCACCTCTTATCTGTCAGTGTGTCATATTGTAGCTTGCATGTTGCTGTGATGTTGGAGCTGGTATTTCAAATGCCAGCAGGGTCACCGATTTCAGAGACACTTCCAGATAAAGACAGACTAGGAAGAAGGAACATGCAGACAACTTCTGAAAAAGTAGTCACTAAAATCATGATCTGATATGGTGCCAGAAGATGAGCCCCCCAGTTTGAAAGGTGGGAAAATCTACCTCCTCAAAGTACTGGAGATCTAAATGATGGAATATATGGAAAAAAACTTTTGGGAATTTCATTTGATGATGGAGAATGACTCAAAATAAAAAAAAACAGTTGCAAATATCCATTAGTAATTAGAATGTGGAAGTTATGAAGTCTGAATCTAGGAAAATAGGAGGTCATCAAAATTAAAATGGAATGAATAAAGCTTGACATTTAGGCAATAGTGAGCTGAAATGGGCAAATATAAGCCATTTTGAATTGGACAATCATATGGTTTATTATCCACCACTCATCTGCCAGTTTGTCTTACTGTGGTGGCTTCTGGAAGCTATGCTACCAGTGTTTTAAATATCAGCAGGGTCACCCATGGTGGACAGGTTTCAGCTGAGATTACAAAGACAAACTAGGAAGAAGGAGAAGTGGACTACTTCTGAATATTTAGCCACTGAAAACCTTATGAATAACAGTGGAACACTGCCAGATAACATCAGAATATCAAATATTTAAACATGAAATTGAAATTGTCAAAGACTTCATTTTGCTAAAATCAGCCATTAATACTCATGGAAGCAGCAGTCAAGATATCAAAAGATATATTGCATTAGGCAAATCTGCTACACAAGACCTCTTTAAGAGCAAAGATAAAAGTTTGAGGACTAAGGTTTGCCTGACCCAAGCCATGGTATTTTCAATAACTTCATAAGCAAGTGAATATTGGACAGTGAATAAGGAAGACCATAAAAGAATTGATGCATTTGAGCTATGGTGTTGGAGGATAATATTAAAAGTACAGTAGACTGCCAAAAAAACTAACAAATTTGTGTTGGAAGAAGTACAACCAGAATGTTCCTTAGAAGCTAGGATGGCCAGACTTCATCTCTCATACTTTGGACATATTATCAGGAGGGACCAGTCCCTGGAGAAGGAGATCATGTCTGGTAAAGTGGTGGATTGGAGCAAAAGAGGAAGACCCCAATGGGATGGATTGGCAGAGTGGCAGCATCAATGGGCTCAAATGTACCAACTATCGTGAGGTTGGTGCATGACTGGGCCTTGTGTCTTTCAATTGTGCATAGGGTCACTACTAGTCAGTACCAACTCAATGGCACCTACCCATAACAACAACATGGTTTACTATGCAGGGAATGAAAATTCATCATCAAAACGATCATTTCAAGACCTATCTCTAGTACAATTCTATTGTTGTAGTTGCTGTTGTTAAGTGCCATTGAATCAGTTCTGACTCATAGCGACTGTGTATTCAAGGTTTCGAAGAAGCAACTGGTGGGTTAGCAGTGCTTGTGGTTAGCAGTCCAGTGCTTATCCTGTAGCAACACACCAGGACTCCATAGGCTACAATAGGTTACGATGGTGTATGTAGGATCAGCACTGGACATTGAACTACAAGGTCAGCAGTTCAAACCCACCAAGCTGCTCCTTGGAAACCTTATGCAGGTCAGTATAAATTGGAATTGACTTGACAGCACTTAACAACAATATGAGGAAGATGAGATAACGTGATTACTAATCTACACACCAACCACTAAATCCAATGATGAAGAAATTGAAAAATTCTATCAGCATCTTCAGTGTGAAGTTGATCAAACATGTAGTCAGTGTTGGTGAAGAATATTGAATATACCATTGACAGAAGAAAGAGCACAGCTGTCTTAGATGAAGTACAAAGAGACTTCTTAGAAATGAGGATGGCAAAAGTTCCTGTCATGTACTTTAGACATGCTATCAAGAGAGATCAGTCCCTGGAGAAGGACATCATGCTTGGTAAAGTAGAGAGTCAGTGGAAAAGCGGAAGGACCGCAACAAGAGATGAATTTACATATTTGAAACAATGAGTTGAAACAGCAGTAATTGTGAGAATGGTAGAAGACCTGTAAGTATTTGGTTGTGTTGTACATTGTTGTTGTTGTTGTTAAGTGCTGTTGAGTTGGTTCTGATTCATAACAACCCCATGTGGGGTTTCTGAGGAGCGGCTGGTGACTTTGAACCTCTGACCTTGTGATTCCAACCAGCCTTGTGGTACAGTGCATTTTCCTGCTGTGCCACA